CCCCCCCCCCCCCCCCCCCCCCCGCACACACCAGCTTCATGCCCAGGCAGTTCTTCTCCCGGGTGTTGTAGCTGTCAATCTTCTGCTTGATCTCCTGCAGTGTGGGCGGCCGCTGCGTCTCCTCGGCGGGTTTACAGACATTCTGGAACAGACACAGAAGTGAGAGTGGGTACGCAGTGGTTCTCCGGATGAGAAAGGGGAGGACCACACCCTCCCAAAGACCTCGAATAAAGGAGCACCAGTCCCGCGCGGTGAAAACTAATCTCAGGGGCGCAGGGTGAGAACAATCAGAGATAAATCCCAGTGGTACCGCTGGGTAGCTGGCCAGCTCCGGGGAAGTAACTGAAATCTAAGTCTCCTCACCTGTGAAATGGGAACAATGCCTACCCCCTCGGGCTTGCTGCAAGACTAATATGAACGTGCCCAGCACACGGGCACGGACGACGAATTCGGTGCATCAGCAGAACAGCATTTGCTTACTGAGGGTTACTAGGGAAAAGATTGCATTGAGATGCTATGGGAGCTGCAGAGAAATGCAAGGCACCGTCTCCAGGAGGAAGCAACAAGAGCCGGAGAGACAGGAATGTACACACTGTCCCAGCATATGCTGATGGGAGCGACAGCAATTCACCCAGACCCAGGGGACCAAGGGCACATGAGCATCAGTCCAGGCCCTACATCACTGGCCACAGTACTTTGCACATAATAAGAAGTTCAGTTGCTCCTTGAACAACACAGGTTTGAACTGCGTGAATCCACTTATAAAGGAATTTTTTTATATATAAATATAGTCCAGTGCTATAAATGTATTTTCTCTTCCTTATGATTTTTTTAAGATTTTATTTATTTACTTACTTATTTATCTGAGAGAGAGAGAGGTTGAGCACGAGTGGGGAAGGGGCAGAGGAAGAGAATCTTCAAGCAGACTCCCCGCTAGCCAACTCAGGGCTCAATCCCACAGCACCGAGATCATGACCTGAGCTGAAATTAAGAGTTGGACGCTCAACTGACTGAGCCACCCAGGCGACCCTCCTTATGATTTTCTTAATAACATTTTCTTCTCTCTAGTTTACTTTAGTGTAAGAATGCAGCGTGTAATACATATAACATGCAAAATTGTGTTAATAGATCGTTCATGTTATTGGTAAGGCTTCTGAGCAACAGCAGACTATTCGTGGTTAAGTTTAGGGGCTGTCAAAAGTTATACTCAGATTTTTGACTGTGCTGGGGGGGGCAGCGCCCCCAACCCCCAATTTGCTCAGGGGTCAACTATATATATTTGTCAAATGAATGAGTGAACCGGAAGGGAACAGGGGGCTATTCTTCTACAATAATTGAGAGAATCGGCCTCCTCTCCTGGGGCATGGGGACAACCAACATCTACTTAGCACCTCCTCTGTACTGAGAACCTGGCAAGCACTGTTTCTTTTAATCCTCACAAACCTAAACTCTGTGAGATGGAGATTATTACCTACATTTTCAGGAGAGACAACCAGGGCTCAGAGGAGCTCAGTAACTTGAGTGGGTAGGTGCAGACCTACAGGCGAATCCCAGGGCTGTTCTGCTGTGTTCTTACCAGGGGTTCCCCTGCTGCCCACCCCCCACCCCCGCTCCCCACCCCCAGGGAAGGGTAAGGGAAGAACAATGCTGAGGAACGAGATGGAGGTCATCGGTCTTCACACTGTGGGGGTGAATTCTGGGGTCTAAGCAACTCTGTCCCTCGATCACTTCCCTGCATTTCTTTCCACTTCACTGCCGCCCACCCTCCTGATGCAGTCTTCATGCTGCCCGTGTGCGGCGGGAGCCATGGTTTGGGAAAACGAGTAAGTTGGTAAAAAGCAACCCAGAATTCACCTGATTTTAGAAATCGAGCAGACTCGGGCCGGGTCAGGATTCTCCTCTGGCAAATGAGGAAACTGAGGCCCAGAGAGGCAGGGCCCCTGTGTTCTCCCGGCTGCCTCCCTGCCACCACCCAGCACCCTCCTGCAGCGGTGTGGTTTGGCTGACAGATTTCCCAGCGGCCCTGTCAAGGCAACAGCACCCGGCGGAACACAAGAGGAATTCCATGCCCCTACCGGAGCCTGTCCCCACAGTCCTCCCTTCAGCAAGCCGTCCCCAGAGATAGGGCACACTCGGCAAGATGCCCTCCCTTCCTCCTTCCACTTTCCAACCCGACAGAGCCGATAACATGTCAGGTTCTGTGGCTGCCACGGGGAGCTGGTGTGGCCTCCCCATCACCCCTCTACATGGAGATAAGCCGACACCCCTTTTCCATCACAGCATCTTCCCTTGGCCTGTCTGCCCCTCCCCCCATCCTCTTCCTCAGGGATCCTGCCGGTACCAGCCCTGTGCTCCGTCCTTTCTCATTCTCTCTCTCACGTACCATCTATGTTACTCCCATTTCACAGATCACAAAGCTGAGGCCTAGAGAGGTTATGGAACACGCTTGTGGTGCCACTGCTAGTAAGCATCTGAGTAGAGCCTGGAACAGGGTGCATCCAAGTCTGGAGCCCATGTTCTTCTCAATTCACCACATGACAACTCTAGGACGGTCGCTTCTGCCACTCCCATAATGATCACTGAAATTCCATGCCATTCCATGGGGGCTGAGGTGTGCAGCTGTCAGACCAAGGCCCAGAAATTATGGGCCCGGTGAAACATTCGTCCAAGGTGTATCGGATCCGTGAGCCAGGCCCCAGAGGACTCAGGACCCGGGGGCACCATGTCCCCCACAAAGATGGCAAGGAGGGCCTTCCAATCTCTCAAGTGGGATGCGGCTGCCAGCACACAGGAGCCACCCTTTCCTGTATGGCCACTCGGGCCATGGAACTGGACCTTGATTCCATCTAAGAGCACCCAAGGGGAAGCACACCCCAGGGCATCTCCTTTTGGCCTGAGGTAAGCAACAACCGATGTGAACCTCAGAGAGTGTCTTCATTCACTGGCGATGCATCAATCCAGGGATCCTCAAATGGAGCTCCTCATTCCTGGTCCATTCCCACAGCTAGTTCCCAGAGACACGGACCTCCCTGGAAACCCCCCCACAACTGGACCACCTCTCTGGGACCAGATGTACCCGGCCACAGCTCAACCGTGGGAGCTGCCAGTTAGAAAGACCATTTATCTGGTTCCTATCCTGGGCTCCATTCTACCCATCTCTGAAGCACACAGGCTGTCCCCTCCTCAGGAGCTGACAGCTTTCTCATATTCACCTACCCAAAAAAGAGTTAAATAATGGAAAGGAAACTCCAGAAGCTCTTGGAAGATCTCCTCTCATAGTTTCCAAGCGAGCTACAGACATTTCCCTGTAAGAAAAGGCAGCTGGTTCGTGGCTTTCAAAGGTCAGTTATTCCAGGCCTGGGTTTGTGTATAGCAAAAGTCCAGCTGCTGTAAGTAAAGGTTTCTTCTTCCCGTTCCCCTTCTCTTCAGCAGGTAGCCCATCCATTCCTCCCCCTTGCCCACCACAAACCTGGGGAAGTGACGCAAGTGTCTGAGGCCACCCCTTCCAGGACTGACGCAGAAGATGGCCATCCTGATTTCACCACCCCCTCCGGGAGTGCCGGGAGCCCTGTGTGGCCAGCATGTGGAGCCCCCCAGGCTGGAAGGTCGGCCCGCAGGGCTGGTATGGCTCCTGCCCACCCCATCTGGCCCACAAGCTCTGACCCACGGATCGAATGAATCACCTGCCAAAGTAGGCCAGCCAATCAGCCAGCAAGCCACAGTCGCGAGAGCCCACTAATCCTTTCCCCTCCCAGGGAGGGTACAGAATCTAGGCCAGTGGTTCTTAAACTCGGCTACACACGGAATCATCTAGCAGATCTCTAGAAACACTGCTTGGGCTCCATCTTGGAGATTCTGATGTATGGTGTGGGGTACAGCCTAGGCATCGGGATTTTTTTTTTACTCTCCCAGCTAATTCTAACGGGCAGCAATGTTTGAGGAGAACTGGTATAGACCCCTTGCGGGCAATTTCAGATGCCAAGCGTCCCCACCCAGCAGCACAATTAACACTCCAGCACGCACAGATATTCACTGCCCCAAAGATTTACCTAAAAGGCAAGTATCTGCTGTGTGAACAAGATCAATAATATAGGAGTCTTCACGGGGTAAGGCAAAGACCTCCATTGTTATTCACCTGTCCGATTTTCAAGTCCTCAAAATGAAAGATTGGTTCCCCCCACGGGTATGAAGCTAGAAACCAGGCAGATAGAGTTTTGTCTCCCCCGGGTGGCGCAAGATGGAGACAGAATGGGGACCTCACTCTGTTAGGATTTCACAGATTTCGGCATGGGCCGCTGAGGTGTCTCTTACAGGGGGTTTGTGCGTCTCGGGGCAGCATGGAATGCATCTGCTCTGATTCGGCCCCTGGCATTGGTGGCAGATGGTTTAGCTGCTCCCATCGCAGCCGGCACAGCCACGGCGCTGGTGAAAAATAGGTTTGTGCTCCCATATCCTGAGCCGTGGAAGGGGCCGTGTTGCCTCTCAGTACTCAAAGGTATTGGGGTACAGCTACATGAAAAGGCTGGGTGCTAGGAGTCCAAACAGATGCTCCCCTGAGACTGAGCCCCAAACCCTTCTATTAAAAATATCTTTGGGGCAGCTGGGTGGCTGTGTCGGTTAAGCATCCAACTCTTGATTTCAGCTCAGGTCATGATCTCAGGCTCCTGGGATTGAGCCCCGAGTTGAGCCCCATGTTGGGCTCCATGCTCAGTGCAGAGATTCTCTCTCTCTCTGCCACCCCCCCCGCTCATACAAGCATGCTCTCTCTCTCTAAATTAATTAATTAATTAACTTAAAAAAATATATATCCTCAACAACAAAATTAAGAGGATCATCCCCTGTGCTCTGTCTGGGGCCTACCTCAGAGCACAAAATTCAACCCCAAGTTGAATTTTACTTTAAGCAGAAACCCAAACGTCAGTAAATTCTGCATTCTAACCAATGACACAGGTCTTAATTTTGGTCACGGCGGAAGAAGAGGCTCTGAGTGAGTCCTGTGGTTTCTAGTATCCCCAGGTGGACACAGGGCAGCCTCCGGAAGCCCCAGCAATGAGGGGGGCCCCAGGGTGAGGAGTAGGCTCAGGAGCATCAGACACACTCTGACACATCAGATAACGTCATGTCCATCTTCTTTTGACCTGA